TTCCCCTTCTACTTCTTCCCCTCCTCCTCCTCCTCCTCTTGCTTCTTCTCCTTAGCCTTAGTCTTATTCTACAGAATTATCATTATCACTCTCAGTCACATAAATATAAAAGTGTAGCTGATGTGACACAGATAGAGGATAAAAAGGAAAGGGGTCTGGAATCCTGTCTATATCTTACATACAGAGGAGACTTAAATTCTAGAATCCATAGGCTAATGGATGGGAAAGTGGATATATTATTCAAAATTACAAAGATAGAGAGGCGCCTGGGTGACTCAGTTGAGCGACCAACTCTTGATTTCAGCTCAGGTGGTGATCTCACAGATTCATGAGTTGGAGCCCCACATTGGGCTCTGTGCTGACAGTGCAGAGCCTGCTTAGGATTCTCTCTCCCTCTCTCTCTGCCCCTCCCCTGCTCTCTCTCTCCCTCAAAATAAATAGATGAACATTTTTTTTTTTTTTTTTAAGTTACAAAGATGGGGCGCCTGGGTGGCTCAGCTGGTTAATCGTCTAACTCTCCATCTCGGCTCAGGTCATGATCTCAGTTTATGAGCTTGGGCCCGAATCATGCTCTGTGCTGAAAGTGCAGAGCCTGCTCGGGTTCTCTCTCATCCTCTCTCTCTGCCCCTCCCCTGCTCATGCTGTCTCTGTCTCTTTCAAAGTAAAAACAATTAAATTAAATTAAATTAAATTAAATTAAATTAAATTAATTAAGTTAAATTAAATTAAATTAAAAGATAAAAAGTTATTGGGGCGCCTGGGTGGCTCAGTCGGCTGAGCGTCCAACTTCAGCTCAGGTCACAATCTCACGGTCCGTGAATTCGAGCCCCGCATTGGGCTCTGGGCTGATGGCTCAGAGCCTGGAGCCTGCTTCCGATTCTGTGTCTCCCTCTCTCTATGCCCCTCCCCCGTTCAGGCTCTGTCTCTCTGTCTCAAAAATAAATAAACGTTAAAAAAAGTTAAAAAAAATAAAATAAAAAGTTACAAAGATAAAGAAAAGTAATAGTAATAAAACTCAAGATGGGGAGGGAGAAAGGAAGGGAAATTGAGAGTAGTAAAGAGACAATAGATATTGCCGAAAACTGATAAACAACCAAATCATACTTTCAGCATTCACTTGAAATTATGGAGGTAACCACCGATGGGTTACCCCAAAATATGGCATGTTAACATGTAGATTGTTTTAGGCTGAAGGAGTTTGAGAAAATGGCATAAGCGAGATCACTCTGCTCTTCTCCCCATTTTCCTCCTTGTAACGGGTCACAAAACCCTCAGAAGATGAAAACTTTTATTAAATAAATGTGTATGTTCTTCTGTTAATGCCTTTGCCAGCTTATTTTTCAGACCCATCTGGGGACCTTAAAAAGATCGAGCAAATCTTTTCCTCCCCTGTAACACCAGAACTAAAACTTTTAAAAAGGTTAAAAGCGGTTGCATCAAAGAAGTAGGTCTGGGGGCACCTGGGTGGCTCAGTTGGTTGAGCCTCCGACTTAGGCTCGGGTCATGATCTTGAGGTTCATGGGTTCAGGCCCCACACTGGGCTTTTTGCTGTCAGTGTCAAAGTTGTTAGTGGGGAGCCTACTTTGGATCCTCTGTCCTCTCTCTCTCTCTCTCTCTCTCTCTGCCCCTCCCCTGCTCATGCTTTGTCTCACTCTGTCTCTCAAAAATAAATAAATGTAAAAAAAAAAAAATTTTTTTTAAATATAGCCTATAACCTACTGTCATTATAACTGCCCCCAAACTGTGTAGAACTCTGGATCTGCACTGGTAAGAGAGATAAAATTTTAAATAATCCAAATTGTTAGCAGAGAGACTTAGAGACCGATTGTTTTTTTAAAAAAAAATTTTTTATTGACTATATTCCCTATGCTGTAATTTTCATCTCCAAAACTTTTATATTTTATAACTGGAAATTTTACCATTTAACCAATGTTTGTATTTTATCCTGACTTTTCATCAATGTTGATTATTAGGACTAATTTATTTATTTATTTTTTTTTATTAGGACTAATTTAAAAACTTGTGATTTATTTTTAAGTTAGCCTCATATTACTTTATCATTTTTTTCTTTAATGTGGCTTTCTTCAGCTTTTAAAACCTGTAATTTGAGGGCCCTGGATGATAGTACTACACAGCTAAAAAGGAATATTTAGTGCTGTGGTTTGAATATTTGTGTCCCCCTAGAGTCCATGTGTTGAAATCTAACCCCCAGAAGAGGATGGGAGTGGAAAGTGGGGCCTTTGGGAGGTGCTGAGATCCTGAGGCTGGAACTGTCGTGAATGGGCTTTGTGCCTGATAAAAGAAGTTCAGAGAGGGGGGGGGGGGGGGGG